GGCTTTGATAGCCATACTCCCTAGGAAAGTCTCCTTGAATGCAATGACGTCAAGGTTAAACCTTGCTGGGGGTTAAGTATTAGCATCTGCTAGGGCAAGAGGGCAGGACACCAGGGGAAAGGTCTCCCATTCCTTGCCACCTTAACCCTCTACCACAACCATCTTGATCTGAGGCATTATTATTGTCGTCTCTGGCTTGGTGTCCCTGTTTCTGGCTCTGTACCCTAAGTCTATCTTAATGCTACCAGAGTGATCCTGTTAAATATAGGTCAGATCAAGTCACACTGCTTAAAGCTTCCTATGGTTTCTACTCATTCAGGAAAATTAAGAGTCCAGTCTATTTATCTTATATGGTTTTACTGAATCTAATACCTTCTTCTTCCGTTCAGTTCCTAGCACCAGTAACTCTCTGATCTCACCTTCCATGGTTCTTCCCCCTCCTCATTCTGGTATACAAGCTTCTTTGCTGTTCCTAGAGCATATACATGTTCCTAGAGCATGATCACACCCCAGGACCTTTGCACACACTAGTCTTTTCTGCTTACAATGTTCTTCTTTCTGACCTCCTTAAGATCTTTACTTAAATGTCACCTTCTTGGTCGAGTACCCCAAATCCCACTTATGTAAGGTTGTTACCAATCCTTCTAACCATCCCAGTTTTCCCTACATCCTTATCACACTTACATTTTATTTAATTCACCTTGTTTATTTTCCATCTCCCTCCCCTAGTAAGTTCCACAAGGGAAGGTGTGTTTGTTTGCTCACTGCTGGATCTGCACTGTTGACAATACTGCCTGACACAGAATGGTTTCCCACTAAGTATTTCTTGGCTAAATAAATGAGTACATCTGTGACTGGAACAGTTACAAATGCCTTCTGAGATGAGCTTTCATTTCTTTATGAGTACAAAGAGGAAACTGGTGTTTTCTGGGTGTCACTGGTATAATAGGGTTAGCCTAAAAGGTAACCACAAATTCAAAGTGATACTAAAATGTTATAACCTAAGGGGTGTGCAGGTAAAATCCAGGAAGTTCAGGTCAATAATTATTACTCTGAAAGCCAAAAATAGGAGTCAAATACTGAAATCATTATTCAGATGGGTAAGAGGTTTTAATAAATATAAAATGCCAGGCCCATACTAAGTTCTTTATTCTTGGTAGTTTCTTTGCTTCCTTTTCATAACAGAATACAAAATTCATTTGCAGTCTTCTTAAAGTCTTATCAATAAACTCTATACCCCTCTCAGTGAGGCTCTGATGCTTCTTCTCCTCTAGCTAGAACTCATCTTTGTAATTTACCCAAAGTGGCTTTCGTAGAAAAACAACAATTTACTGGCTCACTTCATTAACAAATATTATGGTAGGATTATTTAACCCTGGTCTGGATCTAGGAGCTCAAAGGATACCAGCAGAACTCAGTTTTCCACCACCTCACAGCTCTTGCCTCCCATGGACTGGTCTCAATCTCAGACAGTTGTCCTCATGGTGACAAGATGGCTGCAGTAGTAGAAGCCTAACTACCTTTGAGTTGGCAGCAAAGAGAAAGTCACTTCTCTAGTACTGCTGTCAAGACCTGAGACTCACTCTGATTTGACCAGTTTGAGTGACTTGCCACCATGGTCCAGGTCTAGGGAAAATGTGACAGTGATTGGCTCCCCGTGGGTCAACACTCAGATCATATGAACTGATGATGAGTCAGAGGCCAGCACAAATCAGTGTCTGTGCCAGAATAAGGTCACTGGGACACTTGGAGGGCAAACCACATACTTCCTGCTTCCTTCTAGAATTTTCTGTAGGTATTTTAGCAATCAGTCCTTTGATTTTATAGGAAAACTACTAAAATGATAGCACCTAGGATGACACATTTTGTCTATTTTACACTAAGTTTGCCATATTTTAAGAATATTAGTCATAACATATAAACATCAGAAGTTGCTAAACAGATAGTTTTAGAGCTATTATGATGTGAGATTTTATTTATTTTTTATTTTTTTAAGGATTTTATTTATTTATTTGAGAGAGAGAGAGCGTGAGAGAGAGCACGAGCAGGGGGGAGAGGGAGGAGCAGACTCCCTGCTGAGCTGGGAGCCCGATGTGGGGCTCAATTCCAGGACCCTGGGACCATGACCTGAGCCAAAGGCAGACACTTAACCAACTGAGCCACCCAGGCGCCCCACTAACGTGAGATTTTAAATTAAGGTTTTTCTTAATGGAAATTTCTCTGATGATGATGATAGATAGATGACAGAGAGATAGAGAAATAATACCTCTATATGGGTACTTTGTGCCACCGCAATTTTAAAAACCATAACCCCCACCCCATACACACAGATATATATTTTTAAAATTTACTCAGTCCTCACAACAGCCTTACAATAATTGCAGTTTTATCCTCATTTTTCTTCCACAAGGAAAGTCTTTGTTTACAAATCTTTTTTCTTCTTGACAAAAGGATAACCTCTACGAGGAAATGAAGAATTGTAGAGAAATCAATTAGAGAAATCAATTAGAGAAATCCTAAGATATATATATCTTAAGATATATCAAAGAGCAACAAGACCCCTGTTTCAGGGTCACCTCAGCTGCCAAACTCCGATCTTTTGGTATTTACCCAACACCCTCAGTGATTCCCCAGAAGTGCCTGGACACCCTGCAGTTTGTAGACAAACACCTGGGAGGAAAGACGTCTGTATATGATTTAATCAGCTATTCCTAAAACTACTGAGTCTGACGCTTTCTAGGCATGTGCACTTGTCTTTGGGAATGGGAACTAAAACTGTGGGTAAAGTATGCAGCCAAATAATCCAAAGCACCAAACACTGATAAGCCATTTAACAAAGTGACAGTGTTTCTCTCCTTGTTTTTGGCAGTGTGTTTTATTATCCTGCTCCCTCATGTTTCAACACTTCTCTCCATGATCTAAAATCAAGAAAAGAAGTTAAAAGTTTTCAGAATAATCCCAAACTGAAGAAATCATAAGTGAGATAATTATACCAGCCTCAATGGCTGTCTCTACTAGGAGCTGGTTCAACGATTTGTGGTATTCACACAAAGGGAACATATTTTGCATGACTTGACTTCCAAGCAGTGATTATCCCTTGCAGGCTGTTTGTTTTTCCAAGTGGTCCTGCTGATTAGAGGCTCTGAGTGAAATCTGTGGCGGTTGATAACCTAGCTACCTTGGCTTTCTGCTACATTAAACCCTTTTGGTCTGCTTTAAATAGGCAGCGCTAATGCCTATGGACTTTCTCTGCCTTCAGAAGCTGGATTTCTTTGCCAAGAATTTACTTCTTGCAGGTCTTCAAGAAGTATATGATATGCGTTGGCAGTGTTAATATAAGAATGCAACTTTTGAGATTACGAAGTCTCAGTAGAATATCATGTATTCCTTGATTTTGTGGTTGAATTTTCCAGTAATTCAGTGAGTAGTTAATGAATGTTATTCATCATCACCATCTTCAACACGATTGATGTAACATCCCTCAAATGCTACGTCAAAGCGTAAGAGTCCCATTTGGTGCCCCATATTGGAGAGTAGGGTAAGGTGGAAAAAAATGCCAGGGTAGAACATGCTTCAGAAATGTTTGTAGATTCAAAACTCACATCAGCATATCAAAGCTTTAAAGCATCATTTAGCACCTCTAAGTCATTTATCCAGGAACACCTTTCTTTTCCCCATGTGACAGCCTTTATCTGTCCTTGGAACTTAATTCCTGTAGAGCACACACTGCAAAATGCTAATTTTATGAATGCTTATTTGAGCCACGTGTGGGTCCTGTTTGCTGGATGCTCACCTCTGTATCATTGTAGGGCACAGGGGATTCAGTATTTACAAAAAGACAATACAAATGTAGGTTTTTGATCTTATTTTCCTTGCTCTCAGCCAGGGGTCAGGAAAAGGCTATGTAATGGGCCACATAGTAAATATTTTTTGGCTTTGTTGGCCAAGTGGTCTCTTCCACAACTACTCAGGCCTACCGTTGCAGCACGGAAGCAGCCCCAGCCAATAGGAAGCATGAATGAGGATGACTGAAATGTGGATTTCATATAATTTTCATGTGTCAAGAAATCTTCTGCTTTTCCCCCAACATTTAAAATATAAAAACCATTCTTAGTTCACAGGCTGTGCAAAAACTCAACAGATTGGATTTGGCCAATGGACCAGTTTGCTGACCTCTGCTCTAAACCCAGATTGGTAAAGGAGATGATGTCTATGTTTCTATCTACACGATGCAGATGTATCTTCTGTATTTTTTTTTTTTTTTTTTACTTTCCGTTTGTCCTTTTTAAAAAATTCTGGAGGGGCCCCAGTGTGGCTCAGTCAGTTAAATGTCCTACTTTCAGTTTTGGCTCAGGTCATGATCTCACGGGTTGTGGGATCAAGCCCCACATCGTGTCCCTGCTCAGCGGAGACTCTGCTTGAAAGATTCTCTCCCTCTGCTCCTCCCCACCCCTCTCCAAATAAATAAATAAATCTTAAAATTAAAGAAAAAGAAAAAAATTCTGGAAAAGAAGCAAGTTTGTAGATTTTTAAATTTGTAAATCTACCCATCCCTCAATGCTCCGTGTAAGTCCTAAAGTTCAGTTAAGGTTTCCCTTTACAGTTTATTTCATATGGACCTCTTTCTACCCAGAACTCTTCAAAACAATGCCCACTTGGGCCACACCAGTCCAATTTCTCCTTTGATACTTTGTAGTGCTTTTTTGCTCTGCTACCTACATTTCAAAGAATAAAGGTTTTGTACTCTGAAGATTTCTTTTTTAAAGCCCTTTTAGGGCAGAGATCTATTTGATATTACTTTAGAGCAACCCTCCTGAACCAAAGCACTGCATATTGTGCATTGATTGAAGGATCAATCAACATACCAATAGGAAAGTAGACGATGTACAAATCATACAAGAATGTAGGGATATTGTATGTATATATTTAGAGTTAACACTCAATTGTCTGTGTTTTCGGTGTATGGCAAATAGTAATTTATGGGTGGTAGTAGTAGGAATGTTATTATGTTTAGAGTAGTATGATTTGCGTGTCATCCTTGCGCAGGGGCCATGCTAATCTTCTCTGTATCGTTCCAATTTTAGTATATATGCTGCCGAAGCGAGCACTAGAGTAGTATGATTTATTCTCAGGTATACATCTAATGAAGAGGAATTGGCCTGACTTTTCTTTTCATTCAATCATTATTCATACATACATTCATTCATTCTATAAATTCTTATCAATTTCCAGTACTGTAGGTCCCAATATCAAAGCATATCTGAGTGTTATTCTTGTTGCCAAAATGTGACATCGACTCTGGATCCAGCTTCTGCTGAGTCAGCATCTGAAACATCTCTTTCATCAGCTCTATCCTCACCTTACCCTACCCCTACTCCTGTCCCTGTAAGACCCTCATTATCACTTGACTCAACTATTGGTCTGTCCATGTCTTCCATCTTGTACATGGTTGTCAGAGTGACATTTTTTTATACAATAAAACTTATCATTAAGCTATTGCTAGTTTCCTACTTATAACTCTTTAATGATCCCCATAACCCACAAGATGTAGACTTCTCAGGATGTATGAGACCTCCCATGAAAAGGCCCTAGCCTCCCTCCCTAGTTTCATATGTTAGAGTGCTCCGGTGGCTATAACAAAGTACCACAGACTGGGGGGCTGAAACAACAGAAATTTATTTCTCACGGTTTTGGAGACTGGAAGTTCAAGATCAAGGTGTCAGCAAGTTGCTTTCTCCTGAGGCCTCTCTCCTTGTCTTTCAGATGCCTTCTCCCTGTGTCTCCACAAGGCTTTTGCCCGGTGTGTATGTATCCCTGGTGTCTCCCTGTGCATCCTAATCTATTCTTATAAGGACCCAAGTCATACTGGATTAGGGTCCCTGCAAATAGCTTCATTGTACCTTAATCACCTCTTTCAAAGCTCTGTCTCCAAATAGAGTCACAGTCTAAGGTACTGGGGGTTAGGGCTCCAACATATGAAGACACAATTCATCCCATACCACGTGTCTAACATTCTTCCTCCTCCTCGATTAGCATCATCCATGTCTCATATTTCCTCTACTGAATAAAGAATTCCATACCTCAAGCTTTGTTCCATCTGTTTCCTTTATATGAGAGATCTTCTTCCTATTCTAGACTCTTCTTTGTCTAATGAACACTGATAATATTTCAAAGTTTAATTTAGACATAAACCTCTCATTATTGTCTTTCCTGACTCCTGGTGTCTATGGGGACTTTCAAGTATAACACCTGTGACATGCGTTATACTAATATGGGTTCCCCTGTGCCCTGAACCTAAAGTGTCAACCAGAGTCCATGCTTCTACTCAATGGAATGAGTAGATGAATGTCATTTAATGTCATTTAAATGAATGACATAAAATTTTGCTGACTCTTTAATTTTATTTATTTTTAAAGATTTTACTTTTTATTTATTTATTTTAGAGAGAGAGTGAGTGGGGAGGAGGAGAGGGGGAGGGAGAGGGAGAAGAATCCAAAGCAGACTCTACACTGAGCACAGAGCTGATGCAGGGCTCGATCTCATAACCCGAGATCATGACCTGAGTCCAAACCAAGAGTCAGAAGCTTAACCGGTTGAGCCACCCAGGTGCTGTGACTTTAATTTTAGGTGATTGGATAAATTGTTAGATAATAAGCAACAGAAATGCTGTAATACCTGGATTATACAAGCAATATCTATACCTATACTACCAAGACAAATTGAAGAAATTTAAAGTGCAGTCAGATGTTACCTGAGAACCCTCAAAGTTAGCATTCTAGGTACTGTATAGGAGTGGACACAAGTTGAACCAGAAAACTTAGTTTCAGCTAAACTGTTATTCTCTTAGTTTTATTCACAAGAAGAGGATTTGAGTAAAAGTTTTGCTTTTTTAATCACTTAAAAATGTTCTGGAGTCTGTTTTCCTTCCTTTTTTTTTCCCCCTTACTGAGAAAATAGGAATTATTCTTATTCTATGTTAGACTTTTACCTGGTTTCTTGGGACTCAATTTCGAGATAGAAAACCTCAAAGAGGAATTCTTAATTGCAGGAAACAAACTGAGGGTTGCTGGAGTGGGGGGTGGGGTGGGAGGGATGGGGTGACTGGGTGATAGACACTGGGGAGGGTATGTGCTCTGGTAAGCGCTGTGAATTGTGCAAGACTGTTGAATCTCAGATCTGTACCTCTGAAACAAATAATGCAATATATGTTAAGGAAAAAAAAAAGAAGAAGAAGAAGGTAGCAGGAGGGGAAGAATGAAGCGGGAGAAATTGGAGGGGTAGACGAACCATGAGAGACGATGGACTCTGAAAAATAAACTGAGGGTTCTAGAGGGGAGGGGGTGGGAGGATGGGTTAGCCTGGTGGTGGGTATTGAGGAGGGCACATTCTGCATGGAGCACTGGGTGTTATGCACAAACAATGAATCATGGAACACTTCATCTAAAACTAATGATGTAATGTATGGGGATTAACATAAGAATAAAAAAAGAAAAAAAGAAAGAAAACCTCAAAGACAAATTGTACCTATTTCCTACTGAAATACATAGCAACTTCCTGTAGAGGCTCATGGACAGATGGAACTGGAAGAATTCTTATAAAATTCTCATATATTTAGCAAGATTAGACAACTATTTAAGATATTGCTTTTTTTTTCATAGATATTAGACCAGCAAAATTGATCCAGATCCACATGACAATAGATACTTAGATATCCCACCCCACAGGTTGTTCTGAGCCTTTCTCTGTTTACTGAAATGTTAATTTTTTTTAATTAACCACAAATTAGAGTTTAGTAGCAACTATAGCAAACTCTAAACAAGGATGATGAACTAATGCCCCTCAAAGGAGAGAAAGCCCCTGCCTGCTGGTATGACTCTATCCTGGTAGTTACCTATGTGTCTTTGGAAGATTCTCACATCATGCCATTAAAAATGGCAATGCGATACACCTACCTGATGGTTTTGTCCCTTGGTTAGGTTTTTTTTTTTCTTTTTCTTTTTTATCATGTTATGTTAATCACCATACATTACATCATTAGTTTTTTTAAACTTTTTTATTGTTATGTTAATCACCATACATTACATCATTAGTTTTTGATGTAGCGTTCCCATGACTCATTGTTTGCGTATAACACCCAGTGCTCCATTCAGTACGTGCCCTCTTTAATACTCATCACCAGGCTAACTCATTCCCCAACTCCTTCCCCTCTAGAACCCTCAGTTTGTTTCTCAAAGTCCATAGTCTCTCATGGTATGTCTCCCCCTCCGATTTCCCCCCCTTCATTACTCCCTTCTTACTATCTTCTTTTTTTTAAACATATATTACTTGTTTCAGAGGTACAGGTCTGTGATTTAACAGTCTGACACAATTCACAGCATTCACCAAAGCACATACCCTCCCCAATGTCTATCACCCAGCCACCCCATCCCTCCCACCCCCCACCACTCCAGCAACACTCAGTTTCTTTCCTGAGATTAAGAATTCCTCATATCAGTGAGATCATATAATACATGTCTTCCTCTGATTGACTTATTTCACTCAGCATAATACCATCCAGTTCCATCCACATTGTTGCAAATGGCAAGATTTCATTTCTTTTGATGGCTGCATAATATTCCACTCTGTGTGTGTGTGTGTGTGTATCAATCTTTATCCATTCATCTGTCGATGGACATCTAGGCTCTTTCCATAGTTTGGCTATTGTGGACATTGCTGATATAAACATTGGGGTGCATATACCCCTTCAGATCACTACATTTGTATCTTCGGGGTAAATACCCAGTAGTGCAATTGCTGGGTCATAGGGCAGCTCTATTTTCAACTTTTTGAGGAACCTCCATACTGTTTTCCAGAGTGGCTACACCAGCTTGCATTCCCACCAACAGTGTAGGAGAGTTCCCCTTTCTCCACATCCCTGCCAACATCTGTCGTTTCCTGACTTGTTCATTTTAGCCATTCTGACTGGTGTGAGGTGGTATCTCATTGAGGTTTTGATTTGGATTTCCCTGATACCGAGCGATGTTGAACACTTTTTCATGTGTCTGCTGGCCGTTTGGATGTCTTCTTTGGAATAATGTCTGTTCATGTCTTCTGCCCATTTCTTGATTGGATCATTTGTTCTTTGGGTGTTGAGTTTAAGAAGTTCTTATAGATCTTGGATACTAGTCCTTTCTCTGATATGTCATTTGCAAATATCTTCTCTCATTCTGTCAGTTGTCTTTTGGTTTTGTTGACTGTTTCTTTTGCTGTGCAAAAGCTTTTTATCTTGAAGAAGTCCCAATAGTTCATTTTTGCCCTTGCTTCCCTTGCCTTTGGCGATGTTTCTAGGAAGAAGTTACTACGGCTGAGGTCGAAGAGGTTGCTGCCTGTGTTCTCCTTTAGGATTTTGATGGACTCCTGTCTCACATTGAGGTCTTTCAACCATTTGGAGTCTATTTTTGTGTGTGGTGTAGGGAAATGGTCCGGTTTCATTCTTCTGCATTTGGCTGTCCAATTTTCCCAACACCTTTTGTTGAAGAGACTTTGTTCCATTGGACATTGTTTCCTGCTTTGTCAAAGATGAGTTGACCATAGAGTTGAGGGTCCATTTCTGGGTTCTCTATTCTGTTCCATTGATCTATGTGTCTGTTTTTGTGCCAGTACCATACTGTCTTGATGATGACAGCTTTGTAATAGACATGGAAGTCCGGAATTGTGATGCCGCCAGCTTTGCTTTTCTTTTTCAACATTCCTCTGGCTGTGCGGGGTCTTTTCTGGTTCCATACAAATTTTAGGATGATTTGTTCCATTTCTTTGAAAAAAGTGGATGGTATTTTGATGGAGATTGCATTGAATGTGTAGATTGATCTAGGGAGCATTGACATCTTCACAATATTTGTTCTTCCAATCCATGAGCATGGAACGTTTTTCCATTTCTTTGTGTCTTCCTCAATTTCTTTCATGAGTATTTTATAGTTTTCTGAGTACAGATTCTTTGCCTCTTTGGTTAGATTTATTCCCAGGTATCTTATGGTTTTGGGTGCAATTGGAAATGGGATTGACTCCTTAATTTTCTTTTTTCTGTCTTGTTGTTGGTGTATAGGAATGCCAGTGATTTCTGTGTACTGAT